AACTATGCGAAGCACGGCAACCAAAGGCAAGGAAGATGTAAGAATTTGCTCGTTTCATGTTATCAATTGATTTACATATTAATGTTATTATTATTATTGTAACGAGAGAGCATGTTCAAAATTAGGTTTTATTCATTGCTCGGTGCGATTGTAGCGACTGCTGAATGTTGCTCGCTCATATATCCACTTGTTTTATAGTCTCTCTTTTTACATTTGTTCGTTTCATTTATTTTGCATGACGAAACCCTTTTTTACTGACCATGCATCAGTTCTGGTGATACCATTAACTTTTGACTTTCGCGACCGCAACTCTTTTTTACTCTAAACTGACTCGCTTTCTTTCCTCTTTTATCTCTCTCTCTTTCTTTCTCTCTAAACCTCTTTCTTGCAATTTCTCGATTTATTTTGGTTGTAAATTTATTTTATGCTATACGATATTAATATGCACATGTTTTCCGCATTCGTGCCAATATTTTAGACAATTCAAATCGAATATTATATATATATATTTTGTTCCTATTTTAAAAATAAATACAAACATGAAATTGGTTTTTTTGTGAATATTCGATAACATTTTTGAAAATCTAAATGATTTCAATGCTTCGAGCGCCAAAAACTGTAAAGAAAACAAAATTTGAAGGTAAAGTTGAGAACATTTTTTTTTGCAGCAATATAACATGAAAACGTGTTATCAACTTTGACTGAACGAATTACAGCTCGAAATTGTTCCACTTTAAAAAAGGCGCTCAACTTTAGTGAATAAGTCATTGATCTCACAGTGTGTGTGTGTCTCGTTCTATCCCAATGTGATTAATTCAATGAAATAAACACCTGTTTATTACATAGTCAATTTTTATTTCTCTTCTCTCAATCATTACAATTATTGTATTTGAGCGAGTTTACGTCCCAAGGGATCAACTGATTATAATCAATACAAATAACAGTTGGCGGCAACAATTTTTGCGCCCAAGCGCATTCGTCTATACACAATTCAACATATCGAGACGATTAACAACGATTTCGGCGCTCCTGGATCTGTTCGGTTAGTGTACATTACACTGTAATTTTCATGATAGAATGAAGTAAAGGAAAGAATAGTTGACATGAATCGAAGTCAGTAGTACAGCGTTAACAACTTAACAGAAGAACTTCCGAACATTGGTTCAGCTGTTTGATATCGAAACATTTAAAAATTGACGTGATGACGATGAAATTGAACAGATCTAAATCACTCGTGTCCAATAATCCAATCTAAATCACTTTTAGTCCGATAATAATAATGCCATTTGTTGCATCTTTTTGGCTCAATATCAAATTATGTGCTACAATTTTTCTTGTGAAATCAAAATACTTCTAATAATCATTATCAAGGGATTTATATATTCTTGACGATTTACCGACACTTTGCAATACAATACAATCCAACATCGGAAGCATTAAGATTTCAATCAAACCGTTGCTTTTCCCTTCTATACTCATCTTCTCTTCTCATCAAAATTCCGATTTAAACCGATGTTGTTCGATCGCCTTAGATTCGATCAAACGATTGTAATTCAACATTTTACGACATAATGTCTCATTATTCGCCAAACAACAAATCGCTTTTTGTACATTGTTTTTTTTTATATTTGAAACACTCGCCACAAATGCGAGACACACAACAAATCTTCGCTGATATTACGATGTATATTGTGTGTTGGCTTGTCCATGTTTAAGCGAGAGCGAAAGGAAATAGAAACAAACAATGATTGTTAACATTTGAATTTGAACGTATAGATTCTGGTGTTTTTTTTATCGAGAGAAAAAAAGCAAGTTATTTAGATTTAATTTTCTTAGAAGAAGCCTTTTCTTCTCATTATACAACTTATTGTTTTAATACGAAAGTTATCGTAAATGATCGTCTCGTTTTCAGAGATATAATACAGTTGCCAATTGCATTAATTGGAATATATTTGAAGAAGTCACATGAGCAATATGTGATATTTTTCACTCAGAACTGTTTGAGTAAATAAGAGTCGGCAAAAATATCCAAGTGTAATATTAGATTTGATTTTGAGATATTTAATGGATTCGACCCAAATGATAAAGAATCGCATCTCATTTTGTATAAAATCTGGACTGTGTCGTGTGCCTCAGTGAGTCCCAATTCCTGCTCATAGTGTATATGGGTTATATTTCTGTTTCGATTCCCCTAGGTCTTACATGGGGTCATAGTTTGTACTGGTACCATTGATTCGGTGCCTTCTAACAGTGCTTACTGCTTAGAATGTTATTCAGGATCGATTATGGTTAAGGTTGACTTCCAGTTCTGTTGCAACAAATTTGTAAAACAACTGAAAAATCTCACTCAAAATGGGGTAAACCCAATACAAAATTAGATTCCTTACAAACAAAAAAACTAGCTCAATAATTGGAGCAAAAGTGGCGATCTCAAAAGGCAAAAAATGATCGACGGTGTAATTCGAATAAAAAAAAATCCATAACAACACAAAAACTATACTGTAAATAATATAGTATCTGAAATTGGGATCGAGTTTCGCACCCACCTCAGAACTTAGTGTTTTATAAACAAATATTGTGAGTGTATTGTGATTGAAACCAAAGGTCGACTGAAATCAAAGAAAAATTCAATACTGAAACATGTTTTAATTCTCGTTTTAAAAGCTTCTACCATTGGTTCTCAGCCATTTACTTATTCAAGGTGAAACAAATGTGTACAACGCAAAAAATGAGTATTTAGTCGACGCAATGCGCCGCGTACTGATTTACATAAAATTAAGTTGGAAATAAATAGCATTTTTGGTTGTTCATCATGTAGTGTGTGTGTGTTTTTTTGTTTGCTGCTGATTATCATTGTGTGTATATTTTTAACATTCAAAAAGTGTTTTGTATCCAGTAAATATTGTGTGTTTTCCGTTTCGTGCAGTTGCCAATCCAAAAATGAAGAAACGAATGAAAAAAAATTATAATGTATCATCCTCAAATGACTACATGTTGGAATGGGATCGAGAATGGCGTTGTTTCGATGTGTAAATATGATACCGTCCATTGGATTCGCATAAATTGACAAAAAAAAAAAAAAATTCAAAGTTTTTGGAATATCACGCTCATGCATGATTGTGTTTTATATACAATATATATCATCATGTGAACACATCGCAAAGCACACAAATATAAACTTCATTTCAAGACTGAAATTCTCTTTCATTCGCAATCTTCTATGTCTGAAGGTCTTTTCCGTGTGAATTTTTGACCATTAATCTGTTTTGTGTGTGTGTTTTTTTCTCCTTCATTTTTCGCCGTTTCGTTTTCGACAATTCAATGCTGGCACGATTTCTGATGCTTTTGTGCATAGCACTTGTGTGCTTGTGTCTTGGATTTTACATTTTTCCGTCATTTTAAATGTCTTCCGTTATTTTTGGAATTGGATTCACTTTTTTTCGCTTTAGTTTTAGTCGTTTTGATTGTACTTTTTTTGTATGTATAATAGATTGTTTGCTTCTGATCTTCTGTTTCAATGTCTTTTTCGGCCTCTTTTTGTTTTCACAATCACAGTTTTTGATTTGATCGTTCTAGCAAATTAACATTTTTTCGGCTCATAATACAAATCAACACAAAATATATATTCTCATTTTCGTTAACGTTCAAAAATTTAAATCTTTCGTTTTCAATTTCATTATGAAATCGAATCTTCAAAAAGATATGAAAACAAGAATCGCTTATTCCCAGCCAACAAAAAAGAGTCACAAACACACACATTGTAAAATAAAATATAGTTTTTTTCCCATTCAATCCGTTTCGTAGGCATCATTTTCAATGTTGGCGCGACGACGACATTCATTGTAGTCGACTGAAACAAAGATCTCTTTTGCATTTTTTTTATTTGGACGTGAGATCATTCGCCGACGCCGTCACACTTCACAATAACAAAATACGACATGAGCGCTGTCTGCGTAAAACTATCATTGCGTGCGCCACTTTAGACATGATAAAAACATTATAGTCAAGATTACTTTTAACACATTTTCGCAAAATATAATTTGAAACGATAGTTTCACTAAAATAATACCAAACGTATTCACGTATCCCCCCAAAAAGCCCGCATTTTCAACTATTTCCGTATATCGCCGAACACAATTTATTCAATCACATAGCAACTAATTTCAAATGCTATATCAAATAAATAACCATCAGAAGAATGCTTATGGAATGAGAACGTTGATGGAATGATCAGACTTTTGTCTTCCACTTCAAATAACAATAATAATTGTTGCGATCAACCGATTTTTGACTGAATAGCATGCATTTTACCCCAAGGAAATGTACAATTATTTCGACGGACTTAATCAGATCGCAAGGGTGTGTTTGACGCGTTAAATATATCAGGTGTGAATTCAATTGACTTAAATTGTTTCTGATTTATTTATTTATGACAATCAAATAGATTTGCACGCAACACACGATTCGAATCGAAAACGACCGTTTATGTCGAATGTTTTAAATCAAAATTCGTTGCATTTACGACTAAATTACCACAAAATAATATGCTAAATGATTCGAATTGCGTGAAAGACCGCCACCCTCTACACTCAAATGCACGTGATTCGATCGATAAAAAATATATACGTTGTTCATTATTGAATAAAAACGGCGGTGAAATAATTATCCCTTTTCACAAAATACTAACAATTTATTTTTCATGTTGTCCATTAAATTACATTTTCGCTCACCCCTGCACACGTGAACCACACATTCAATGCACAATTTCCGTAAACACTCTCGGAACCGAAAAGATATGAATTTTGAAAAAGTGTGACAATGTCACACCTATTTTCAGACAGAACATTTTTTTTCCCGGGTATGTGGATTACAGGTTGTGTGTGTGTGTGCCACAGGCTTAAATTAACTTTATGATCATTTTGTAAAGAAAAAAAAATGATTTCCTTTCTTTTTACACTATAAATTAATAGAATAGAATAGATGATTTCAAGAAATCTTACCAATTGAACGATTTACAAAACCAAACTGAAATCAAGTACAGGTTTACTATAATTGATCGATAATTCGAAGTTTATTTTTTTGTTTCCAGTGTGAACACGGTGGCAAATCGAATGACGTTCGTTTTTCTCGATCGAATTGGTATTTTAAATAATTTCCACATAAATTAATTGTTTCTTTTTTCTCGTTTGCTGGTTGTCCGCCGTTCTTTTGATGAACATTCACAAAACTACAAAATTAAAATACACACACGTTATGAGTAAATCAAATGTTTGTTCCTTTGAAACTTTGTCTTTGGCAGCAAATAAGAACAGCAGTAGGAATATTGTTGTTGCAAAATCTAATGTTTATCTAACCCGCAAAAAATGTGCTTGACTCAAGATGACTACTAATAAGTTCGTTGATGCGTGTAGAGTGAGAAAGGAAATGTTGATTTCACTGTGTTGAGTATGAAAATGTAACCGATTTGATCAGTTGACCCTTTAACATGAGTCATCGGTTGTAATTCTCCTCACAATCAAATATACTGTTGTGGTCACTTGTTATGCGCGCATATACGCATTTCAAAAACAAAAAATTTCAATTTTTCTATTTTGTTGATATTTGAATTTCTTTTGGTTGCTTTCTTTTTGCACTTATTTAATTGGTACAATTTGATGACATGCTTAAGTATTTTTTTATTTCGATTTCGATGTAAACCGACAGTAGAAATCTCATGAATTGCTTTAATCGATGTTTGTAGCATAAATCAGTCACTTGAGTCACTCCGTTTGTGTGTTTTTCTTTCTTGATGATAATTGAACTTTTATCGAGTTTGTAGATATATTTTTTTAAATATATTGTTGTGTCAGCCAATTTGATTTACTCACACGATCGATTTTCAATTTATTAAGTTTTTAACTCAATGTTTGTACTATTTCAGGTTAATTTTAAATTCTTTTGTCTTTTCTCGTTCAGCACTTCTCCAAAACCAATATTTAAAAAAAAAACACAAATTTGTCACAAACTTCAATCCAATAGAAATCAAGCAGTTGAAGCCGAAACCGAATTGTTTGCTTTTTTCACAATGAATCGCCTGTTCGGTGTAATAAATAAACTAAAATTTGTGGTTAGAAGAAAGGATACCCCAAAGCGAATAAAATGAATGAACAAACACACATGCGAATGGAAAATACTCGGGATATTTGTTGCAAAATCGCTCATTCAATGTATTAAATATCGCTTTCTTGCTTAAGCTTGGTGTTGTAACTGAATTTGACTACGATTGTAACGATCCGCTGAATGCGCGATCCGATGACAATGAGATCTCGAATAACACTGACATAAAACTTGAATGCTTTTCAGGTACGGTGAATATGAAGCGTACGGAATACAAAACAGTGTGTTTGAGGTATACAAAAAAAAAGAGAAGCAGACCAATACTTAAATAAAGCAGCAACAACAACAGTAACAACTGACGACCAAAAAACTACGACGAATGGCTCTAAGCACCAGCTAGAGAGCGAGAGCCTCTAAGCCAGTAAGAAAGCGTATATACAAACTACAAAAAAGCACACAGAAACAACACAACTGACGAACACACAGAGAAAGAAAGACTAAGCTAGGCAAAGAAACGGGCAGTAGCCGTTGTTACAACAACACCTTACTTCAATCATATTCACAACGTTTTGTTCTTCTTTCGCTGTGTGTGTGTTCGAGTAAAAAGAGATAGAGAGAGAGAAAAAAAAAAACAAGAATTGAAAAGTGTGCGGTCGATTTGGATGTGTATAATTTCATATGCTTTTTTTAATACTTTAATTCCAGTGTATTTCTTACTTAACAACAACCACTGCTCTCATGTCTCATACCACATGTGTGTACGTGTTGTCGACTTTTCGTTTTATCCATTCCCCGTGTATTTTCTTTGTGTGTCTAATGATTGCGCCTCTCTATTTGTTTTGATCACATTTTAGTGATGATGACAGATTTACTGGCTACCAAAGGCTATGATGCTTGTTCATCTTTGGAATTCAGCGTGAAATTCGATGAAATCAGGATGAGGCAAAGAGGATCTTTGATCTTAACAACCATACAAGTGGTTGTGTGAAAATTTACCCCCTTATTGCCATCGAAATATCCAGTCGCCGAAAATGACAATTTAAGGAATTATTGATACGCCCCATGAGCACCTTTTCTTTCATTTTACCTCGTGAATTATATGACAAAGTGGAGTTTTTTTAAATAATAGAAACAAAACTATATCAATATACCCTTTAAAATTGATTTAAATCAATCGTTTGTCACACAAAATATGGCATGATAAAAATATGATATAATCACTTATTATCGGGAGCTTAAATTACACGACTGATTTCAAAGTTAATTTTTCATACACTTTTTTAAAATCTTTCTTTTAAAAATAAAATCGTTATGGATGAGAGAAGCGTGTCGTGTTCAACACAAACATGCAAATAAAGGCTCTGACGTCAATTTTTTAAAGTTGCAAAGTAATAATAGCAGCAAATGCTGAAATAGTTTACAATTTCACCGTAATTGTAGCATGGCCACAAACTATTACACAATCATTCTCTTACTGTGAGTGCAACAAGCGGTGTATTTCTTACATGCTTCCACATTCCACTGTCGGTTGTTTAGTTCCGATCTCACCTACATATCGCGTCAATTTTCCATTTTAGCCTGCAAGCGTTGACACGAAATTAGTCAATATTTTCAACAGATTCTTTCTATAGATTTTTTTTCGACGCCCAATTGTTGTTTTTCGATAATATAGTGAAAATGCCATTTGCTCATGGGGTTTTTACACTTAATCAAGTACAAAACAAATATTTGAATCTATTTAACAAGCCACAACAAGCATCAAAATGTTGAGCATTTCTGTAATTACTTTAAGAATTCGCAAGATTTTTTAAATCCAATCTATTTGGGCAAACATGCAAAACAATCTTTTCGATTGAAATGAAGTTAACTTGGTCATTCGTGATGTGTGTAATTAAAGGATCGTCTATTCAGATATTCAGTTTGCTGATTCAGGCAACTTCAGTACAAGTAGATTAAATTGCTTCCGATGGTTAATTTTTGTTCTTAATTTCGTGTGGATGTCAAGAGAAACATATGTGTTAAGTAAGTATGAAATTCTCTTGCAATTTGCTTTTCACTTTTCTTCGACGGTTGGTATGATGTTTTAATCATTCGATTCGATCGTCTTCGTTGCAATACACATTTTCGTCTCGCTTGGCCCATATCCATGCTAAATCGTATATTCTAATTTTTCCTCTCACAATTTTTTTTTTTCGTAAGCTTGTAAAAATTGTAATACTCGTGATGGCCCGCGGCCGCATTCACTAAATCGTTTCTTTTACCATTTGTTACTCTTTTTTTTTGTTCGTTCATTGATAATTTCGATCGCGATATCGTTCAAGTCATATTGATGAAAAAGTAAATTTTGCTTGGTAAAAGAATTTCAAGTAAGTTATGACGATGGTGTACATTTTTGCCAAAAAAAAAAACAAGTCTGACGAAACTTTGGAAGTGAGTTTTTATACAATGGAAAAGTAAAAAAAAGAACAACAACAACAACGGCCACTTCACATTTCGTTGTTGATATTTGAAAACCCTCACGGAGAAATTTCGAGGTAGTCGCAATTTACGACGATCAACAAGCAATAAGTCAAAAATCAAATGAGATCAATAGTAATTGTTGAAACAAAAAATCAACCCAGTTACGTTAAATTACACAATACTTGTAAAATTGTGAGGCAAAGATCGATCGTACGGTAAGTGTTTTGTTTAAGTCGGAGATCTATTATGTATGTAAATTTAATTTTGGACCCTGTAGGAATTTATTTTTCGTTAAATTAACCTCTTAATAATTCGAAAATTAATCAGTTATCCCAATGAAATGGAAGGCTTTTAAAGAACAGAGGCAATAAGTCAACAAATGTGCATTCGCGAAACAAAATGCGATAATAGAAAATTGACCAAAAAAAAAAATACGAAAGTACAGCGTGATGTGATTACATCATTGCGCTTTATCTAGCGCATGATTACTCGCGTTTCTTCGTTTACTTTTTTTGAATTTTACGGATGTTGAATGAATGTTGGAAATGTTGATCGTCTTCGTCACATAAATCATTCATTTGGATGCACTTCGCGTTCATTGCTTGAGTGGACGTTAATTTGTGAACGATTTGATCGATTTTATTCACTTACTTAATTCATATTATCGCCTGGTTCGGAATATAGTGATTTTTTTTACTTTCAATTAATAAACCGTTTGTGATTTATGCTTTTGAGTTGGTTACAATTCAGTGTTTGGCTATTGAATGTTTGATCTGTTGCCCATTCTAATTAAGACGGATAATTACCGTTCGACTAGTACTGTTACTCTCGTTCTCCTCTCTCGGTGTTGGTCTCCTCAATATTTCTTTTCCATTTTCTCAACGAAGATCGCCTGTGACTGTCCATCAATTTTGTTTGCTTCATTTCCAAAATAAATAAAACATCATGCAACGGAATGTTTTGGAAAGATAGGCATTTACAAATAAAACATGATAAAACCGAGAATATAAGTCGGAAAGTAAATTGTAAATCATTTGTTGCATTTGTTCGATGTGTAAAATGTGCATATTTTTTTACATGTGGATTGTTGAATTCAACAGGTTGACGTGTATGCGTGTTTTGGTTTTTCTGTGTACCGATGCGATTAACTTTGATATGCCATTTCATTTTAAGTAGTCGAGTATTTTTTGTATTAGATCGGTTTCGTGTGCGCGATGTATTTTATTTGTTGTTTGTCGTGTGTGTTTCTTCCCTCTGTATGTGTCTGTTTATCATCATTATCATCGCCATCGAATGTGGTGTTTAATGTCGTTACCGTCTTAGTTCCGAATACGAATTCGTTCCATCTCTTGCCAACACACATATGACATCATTCGCGGCAAATAAAACGGTTGGCGCGCGGCCGCGTAAAGAGGACAAAGAAAGAGCAATAAAATAACATATGAATATATGTGGCGTGTGTATGATGTGTGTGCTTTGCCTCTGTCTCACGTACATACATGTCTTATTTTAAACAGAGGTATTCCGTTGCATGTGGGTTGTAGAACGATACATACACACACACACTCAATCAATCGTCATGTTTCTCTTTCCTCATTCTCTCTCTCCCCCTATATCACCATCTCACTCGCTCGACGTTGCCGTGCCTGCTTTGATGTTGTTGATTTGTATATATATATCGTTGGTGCCTTTTTTTCATTTCTGTTTATTTCGTGTGTTCATTATTATCTGTTGGTATTTTTCATTGTTGATTATTACGATTATTTTTAAATGCTTTCGGGCGGGTTCAACCTGTTTGATTCACCAATCCAAATGAGTCGTTCGTAGATTTATTATTCATATACATCACGCATAAGGTGGAGCTTTATGGAATGAACGAACAAAAAAAAATAAAAAATAATAATAACAATAAAATCAACAACTGCTTTGTGGAAATCACTGTGCGTTATGTACGCAAACAATTTTTTTGTTGTTGCTTATACTTATGATTTTTTTGTTGTTTGCTGCCGTTTTCTTAGCTTCAATCAATGTCTTTTTTTTGTTAACTCGATTGTTTGTTCTCCCCTTTTCTTCTGTACATTTTGTGTTGATCTATTCTTATTTTAATTTTGCACTATGTTCATGTTTAATCTCGATGTTGTGTGTAAGGTTTTTGCAGGCACAATATGCCAATACAAATTAACATCATATTAATAATTATTATTTAGCTAGCGCATTGTTTATCGATGTGTATTGCATTCGCTAGTTTTTTCTTTACTATTAATGAGTAAGCAACATATTGTTGCTACATAAACGTCATCACCGAATGATATCGAAAACATTATCTGTATATAGGTTTTTTTCTTCTTTTGAATTGATTTAGAATGAAAATCTTGGATTTATGTTATGTGCTGATTTAATTGCTCGCAATAGAAACGCTTCTTTTTATTTTATTAATTTTTTTTTGTAGCTCTTCGTTTAGAAATTCTTACGGTTTTTATGGTCGCCCGCTTTTTACGATCAACACACTCAATCGACGATTTGGATGAAGAAACACCACTATTTTATCATTTATCTCATCATTGAATAACCGTTGTTCTGGATTTAACACGAACATTTTTCTACTTACTTTGATCGAAACTTTTTGTGTAAGCCTATTTTTTTATTTAAATTTTTGAAATGATTTTTGATTGAATAAAAGTTTCGCTTTGTTGTAAATCAATTTTATTTATTTTTCAAATTGTATATTCTAGTCAGCATTTACAGTT